TAAATGAATAAGTTGCATCTGTGCAGTTTTGAGAGCTCTTCCTCATATTTTAGGAAGTTAGCTTTTTTGATGAATTTTTGGGTCCCAATATAACCCAACAGGGTGTCTGTTTTTGAGGTTGGAAGCATGTGTTTAGTCCATTTTCTGTGCGTGACTGAGCATGTGCAGTAATTCCTGCTGTAGGAACAGTCTGTGACTCTGAGATAATGGTTTTCAGGAGGGTAAGTGTGTCTGTGAGCTACTAGAGCTATAGCTCACCAACAAGAATGCTAGGGATATTTGCTGGGGACCACTGCCATAACATTCAATCAGTACCCAAACAGGCAGACTCTGCTCTGCTCCCTCAGCCCCGATGGGAGTAATGTCTGCCTTCATTAAGAAGGCCTGCTGCTGCTTTCTGCTGGAAATGGGTTGGGCATGGAGCATCGCACTGAAGATGAAGGAGGGGTGCTGACTTTTGTTCGAAACAAGAGAAAAACAAGAGTGAAAGATCAAAGTTTGTCTCGCCAAAACCCCTAAGCATGCTCTTTAAAAACTAGACTTCCACCATTTTCTGGATGTGAGATTTAAACCTGATTAAGTCATCATAAAAACTAAAACATGCAGAAATAATAAGCTGATAATAAACTATAATGCACATTTACTCTTTAACTTGTTGTAGAATAATGGTGTTGAGATTAAACCTCTTGCTCATTATTCTTGTTATAAAGAGAGAATTTAACATGCTTCATAGAGAACGGGATCCTCCTTCAGGCCAAATCAGTTCATGCAAGTATATACAGCACAACTATGGCTATTTATGTTAGAAATATCATTGAGCCTACAGATGATGGAGAGTGTTATAATCTATACTTAAAAGTAGGGCTGAAACAATCGGATTAACTAATTATTTAAATAATTGCCAGCTAATTTAGTAATTAATCATCAACGGGAGTATATAGACTGCAAAATATGCCTTTAGCTGATAGAGGAACCCATTAAGAGCAGTAATTATACAGAAATTGTGAAAAAGATGATGTACAAAAACTTTGCATTTGCATATAAAAAAATTTTTTTGTCTGACAATATTTTCTATCTACGGAAAAGGATTAGAGCCACTAAAAAAAAAAATAAAAAAGGTAAGTGATTTTCTATTTATTATGCAGTTTAATATGGGAAAAAAGTCAGAATTCTGACTTAATTCTCAGAATTATGACTTTAATCTTAGAATTCTGAGAAAAATGTCAGAATTCTAAATCTCTTTTTTTTTTCTTTCCCATATTAAACTGAAATAAAATAAAAAAAAATCTGTTAACTTTTTTCTTTTTTTTTTTTAGTGGCTCTAATCCTCTTCTCTCTATCCAGAATTCCTCAAGTGAAAAAGATTTGGTTGGACTTGGTTTAATTTAGTAAAAAAAAGTTCTTCAAAGAACCTTTGGTTATCAGATTATCAATTGAAAAACATTGACAGACAGATTAATATGCTTTGCAAAATAGTCATTAGTTGCAGCCCTACAGGATAAAAACTTTAGAAAAAAAAAAAAAAAAAAAAAAGGTTTTGTTGGTCTCTGTTTTGCAATTTAGATGTTTTTATTTGTGTGATGATGCAAAATTCTCCACATTTGTTATTTTTTAGCCAAGAACTGATTATGTATTTAACTATCTAAAGAAAAGCACTGGTCATATCTGGTCACATCAGTCTTAATGACAATTTGTTAGATTTGCAAGCGACATTGATCCCCCCTAGTATTTAAGTTTGCTTCAGAAAAATCCTTAGTTTAAAGTAGATTTTATCCCTTTACTCGTTTACTATGTCATAAAAATAACCCTCATCTTTTTTAACACACAAGATTTTAAGGATTCTGCTTCAAAGTAACTGCAATGAGTCAAAAGATTAATTTTCCTGTTCAAGTCTTACTAAATATTCTCAATTACATTAAGGTGCAGACTTTGACTAGGACATTCTAACATATAACTAAGTTTTATACATAAAATGTTCCAATGTAGCTTTGGTTCCATGTTGGGTTTGTTGTCTGGCTGTAGGGTGAATGTCTGCCTCAGTCTCAGGTTGTTAGGAGCGTCTAAATAGAATAGTAAATAGTCTGTCTTCATAAAGAGCTTCTCCAGCCATTGACCATCAGAAGCTATTTATATTAGAGCAGGGGTAGACGGCTCAAACACTCAAGAGTCTCTTAAGAGTCATTGCTCCTAAATACCCACTGTACATCCAAATCACTGACTTGTCACCAAGCCTCCTCAAAGCTATAAGACATGATGGTGATATATTTGAGAATTTAGATAGGTGCTATTTTTAAAAGGTCCTATAGAGGGAGCACCACTTACTCCACATCCTAATAGTTCAGAATCTACCTTTCCTGTGGCTTAACAGTAAGGAAAGTGTTGTGGGTGAGAACTGCTGTACTGAATCCAGATGTCCCTCTATGTGCCATTAAGGACGGGAAAGCAGATTGATGATGCTTTTGAAATTGGGATCACAGTCTTTTAGAGAAGACCTTCTAAAAACAAATGTAGTGAAAGGCTGACGATACCCATTATAAACCCAAATCATATGAAGATGTCTAGATTAGCATGTGCCGCATAGAGTACCTCAAGAAATAAAGTCTTTGTGTTTAACTTCATGAGGTACATGTACAGAGTCTGTAGATAATCTAAGCACCAGACAGGAATGTCAGGAGGTCCCTATCCTATGGGGAACCTCCAACTTCCTTTATTACTTTCAACTATTCAAACAGCACTAATGGTGACCACTGGTGCACTTCCTTCCAGATATGCACTATTAGGAATGACCCTGCTAAATTTTCACTTTTTCTTTTTTACTGAGAAATGTCTCCAGCCTTAGACCTGCCTACGATTTGAATCATCTTGGTGTCACCCCTTCATGTTGATAGAAACAATATTAGCACCCCACAAAGTGATAAACTCCCATTCCCTTTGCTGACAAACCAGGAGGGCTGACTAAGAAGTGGCAATGATCACAACAGGCACAGCATCTTCCAGGAGCCTCTGAGGGTCAGCATTCCTTTGAAGCGTCCTGCTTCCAGAACCGGCATCCCTCTGAGATCCATAAGAGGACCCATAATTATCCTGCCTCTGTGTGGGGTGAGGTGGGTGGGCAGCACAGATAGAAACTCTCCCAGCTGAGAGAGCCCTCTGTTCTCACATCAGTGTCTGGATTTATCCATGTGCACAGTGTTTCTGGGGGCTGGAGTCCAAATAAAGGGATGAGTATTTTTTTGTAAAGCAGTATAGAGGCAAGAAGGAGAGACTGGTACGCTGGAGTGCAAGATGGAGAGGTTTCATCTGTCTCTTTCCTCTGTTGCTATGACAGCAGGTTGTGTTGGCATGCGTTGGAGCTGGCGCTGCCCTCACCTCTGGCATCAGGACACCCTGGGGAGAACGTGCACGTGGTGTGTGCACACTCAGTTTGTATCTATTTTTGCATGTAATAATTTCCAATAAAAATTGGACAGAGAAAAGCCCTCTTTTTTTTTATAAGACATTTTATTTGGCTCTCACAGACGGCTAAATGAAGAAATCACAGACAAACTGATCATTCAGCTTCAAATCTTAATTTAATCTCCATAACATTTGAGTTTTTTTGAAAAATATCTGTGTGTGAGTATGTGCACGCTCATATACAGGAGTGTGTATGAACACGAGGGGCTTCTCGGTCTCCCTGGCCAGACGGCACTCTCACCACTGGACAGATGGCCAACACCCTCCTTCTCTTCTTCCTCATCCCTCCTTCTTTCCCTCCATCACTATCCTCCTCTCCTGCGGCAGCATCTAGCACCTCATCACCCCAATCCCTCGTTCCCCACATTCAGCAATCCCTTCGTCCCAGCATACCTCTGCCCACAATAAATCAAGAGGTGAAGCCCTCTTCTGTCCCACTTTGTCTCTTTTACTCCTTAGGTTAGGCTTTTTCCTATATTTACTGTCTGTGTTATAAATATAGAAAAATAATTGAATGAAGTATTATTTTTTTATGATGTAAAAAAGACTTTTACCCTGTCTTGGAAAGCATGGCTGAACGATAAACCAAATAGAAACTGGGTTTATAGAAGAGATGAAAAAAGTGGATCATTGCTAGAACCAATGATTAAAACTGTGGAAATCAATAATCTCCTAGGCTATTTGTTTTATCTTTGCTTTCGTAATGCTTGACAAGTAAAATGTCCTTTAAAGGTCTCCTGTATATCCAAGTCCTGGCTATATATTTTTTTTACATTAAGTCATTTAAAGCAACATTTTCACTGCTCTTGTGGTAGTTCTCATCGTATATGTTGGTCTGTTAAAGTCCAATCAAAGGGTTTCTTTTTTCCTTTCCCTTTTTCTGCATAGTTTCATTCTGTTTTTTCCCTTTTCTTGTCTTTGCATATTGCTGATGTGTTTCCTTCCCTTATAATTGATTTGTTTTTGTTGCTTCTGCAGAAAAGTAACAAAAAGCTTGCCTTTTCCTTTCTTTTTAAAATTTCATTTGGTGTATTTTCTTTTTCTTTTTACTTCTGATTTTTCACCTTTCATCAGTCCATTTTTCCTCTTCTTTTTCCTTCTCCCCATCTCAAAGCTTCTGTACTTTCCTTTTTTTGGTTTCTTACATCCTTTCCTTGGTTCTCTTTCCTTTCCTCTCTCTTCCTGCCCTTCCCCTCTCCTGAGCCCAGTGTCTTCAGTGTCAGTCCTGTTGGATCCCCAGCATTTATAATGTGATAATAAGGTGTGAAAATGGAGACACAATGGAGCGGTGAGGATTGGGCCGCCGCAGCCCTCCGCTGGTGTCCTCTCACACTCTCGACTGCTACCAGAACACACACATTCACACACAGTGTTGGAGGCTAAAGTGGCGACCCGGATGGGGAATATTTAGCAGTGAGGGGGTGATCTTTAGTTAAATACTCTGAAACATCCAGTTTGTTCAGCTGGGTCTTATGAAAAAGTAAACATGAAGCAAAACCATAAGGTCTGTTATAATAAAGTAACGTTATTTTGTTCATCCTCAGACGTTCCTGCGCCTAACAGAGAGCTGGAGCTAAAAGAAGGCCAGGGGGGTGAGGATGGGGAGCAGGAGGAGCGCGACGATGACGACCTGGATGATGAGTCCATCTTCACCTGCGATAACTGTCAGCAGGACTTCGACTGCCTGGCAGAGCTCACCGAGCACAGAACCAACCACTGCCCAGCCGGTGAGACGTTTGGTCCGATCCTGGTTTTGGTTTCATCTTTTTAAGTTATTTTTTCTTACTATGGAAGCTGTGAAGCAGATCTGTGATTAAACAGGCTGCAGGGTCTTCAAACACTCGGGTGGCTTCATATTGAATCACCAGCCTGAAGTTTCCTTTCTGCATACCTTTAGCTATAATCAGTAATATCCACACGTTCCACTGGGACCCACACAAAGGCTGCTGTTGGTACTGGTGTAATTAATGGGGCGGCTGAAAGGAACGCGACAGGGGCATCTGGTTCCTCCAGATTAATCCGAACGCTACCGTCATAAGCCCACACAGACTCTGTCTGCCTCTGCAAGATGTGTGTGTGTGTGTGGACTCGTTTTTAGCACAGTATAGGGACTGTAATCTGTTTACACTGTCATGTCATGGGGACCTATATCCTTATGGGGACCAAAAACCTGGTGCCCAAATGGTTAAGTTTTCTTCTTTGAGCTGGGGTTGGTTTTGGGACTTTCAGTTCAGGCCTTGGGTAAGGCAGACATATTCATTTTTTTAAATAGCAAAGTCAGGCCTTTGATATAAAAACTTACTTACTTTGCTTACTTTACATTTTACTGTTCCAACAGAAAAAGGTTGTTAGAAATGATTTAATGTGTTTCATAAGGGCTGTGTAGTTTAAGAGCATTGCTATACTGTAGGTGCTCTAGATTTAACCAAAAGGCTAAATTCAATCTGGAGTAGCTGAGCAGAGAAAAAAAAGCAGCTAAATAAAACATCAGATATTTATATGCAATAAACTGTAAATATGCAAAAAAACAAGCTAAAAACAGTTATCAGACATTTGATCAAATATGACCAAAGGGAAAAAAATGTAACAGGATGTTGGACTGGCAAGGTTCTCTTCCTGGCCTGCAGACCTTTGCTGCGGGTCCTCCTCTATCTACCGGTACCTTCTTTCTTTCTACCAACTTTCAAATTAAAGCATGTGGTGCCAAAAAAGTACAAACATATTAATGAAATATAAACATCTAACCATATATTAGATTAGAGGATGGCAGAAATGGAGGCGGTTGGACCAGACATTCAAGTCCGGATCAGGTAAACAAACCTGAAAAATAGAATGTCTGACTATAAGTAAGCCTGTTTTTAGATGGTTTTCCACAGGCTGCTTGATTTCATGATTAGCTTAAAGTTTATGATTCTGTCTTGATAAGTTTAAAACTCAAAAGATTAAGTAGAAGTTGTACCGACCTATTCTGATCAATACCCACATGCAAGCAAAGTTCAATAATCTTTCACTAGCTAGGTTCAAGATTAGATTTTTCGTAAGGTCTTGTTGCTTTTTTTTAACGTTTTCTATTTTTCATGTTTGCTCCCAGCCTGTAAGTAAATACAGCTCCAGTTGCCTCCACCGTGTCACACTCAGAGACACCCGCTCAGCGAGCCGCACACAGGGCTGCTGTCAGAGCACAGGATGTGGCCTGTGATTTCAGCAGAGGAGTCTATGTAGGGCTACATGTTGCTGAGAGAGAAATCCAAGGGAGGGGGCTGTGACTGAGAGGGAGCGCAGGAGAAATGAAATGATAAACCATGTTTTTCCCCCGAGGAAGAGCAACTTAGATTGAAGCGTAATCCCACAGCTCTGCAGAATCTGCTCACACTTCGTTGCAAGCTTTTTGTGTATTTGTTTTCATATTTGTGTCGCTCGGTCATTGTGCACATGCTAAAACATGTGAACGGATTGTGGTGGTGGGATGATACTGCTCTGGTGATTATTGGGGAGAGGGCTAGATGGGATTGGACACAATGAAGAATCCTCTTTTAAGTCTCTGGAGGATCCTGGAAGTCAGAGCATTGGGACAAAGATGCACACAAACGCTTGGAAAATCACGAGAAACCAGCGGCCTTCCGGGGATAAACACACGCCAGTCTGGATATGCATGAGAGAGTTAATGTGTTCATGCATTCTGTGCTTTGATTTAGTTAGAATTTTGTCCCTGAACAGAAAGCAAATGCGTAGACTTCAGCTATCTTGATGAGAACATGCAGATGGGGCAATCTTGTTAAAAAAAAAAACAAAAAAAAACATGTTATGATGTTAGCTGCAAGTTAGAGTTTGAAAAAAAAAATGGATCAATTTACTCATATCAGTCCACTAAAAGAGTGTTCCAGAAACTAAGAAGGGTGATTTGTAAGCACGATATTCTGGTGCATTTTAAATCCAACAACCCTCTCTTATTTTTTACACACTAACTCCAAACAGCAGCTATGAAACACATGGGCCAATATTAAACAAACATCTCCTCTGGTCGAGAATCTGTGGTTAGTTTACATCTCCAGGACAAGGAATGATCACCCGAATACGGCAATGCACATTTTTGACTAAAACAGGTGGTTCAATAAGATGAAGGAAGAAAAGCCTAAACTAAACCAGGGAGGTGAACAGTTTCATCTGACTAACTCTTGCTGTGCAGCTCTGAATCCTTTCCCCAGGAAGATCATCCTGAATGGAGGTTGGGGACAGTGAATGCGCTGATTGCCCCATCACAGACCTTAATGGCTCTCTTAGTTTGTTTGTCCTTAAAACAACTTTTTCTCTATTACTGTACTCTACAATGTTCAGGATATAGCTAAGATCTGATGAACCTGGAAGCCAAAGGCCAGTTTCTCACACTGTTTTTCATGCTCTTGAAGACCTTCCATAAACGGGGGAGTAGCGGCCTACTGGTTAGGGCATAGAGCTTGGAATCCTGAGGTTGTAAGTTCGAGCCCCACTCCCACAGACTGCCACTCTGGCTCCCTGAGCAAAGACCCTAAGCCCAACACTGCTCCCTGGGCGCTGCACAGTGGCAGCCCACTGCTCCCAAAGGGGATGGGTTAAATGCAGAGAGTTAATTTCATTGCTCTGTACTTGAGACAATGTAATGACAAAAAAACGCTGAAAAAAATAAATATAAATAGTCTTTGAGCACCTGATTTATCCATGAGATCAGACCACCTTCTTCTTCACGTCTATAGCCCAGTTCTACAGTTTCCACTTCTTCTAGATGTCTTTGGGTGGAGGTCAGCTTTGGTATGGTAGGTCTCCAGCAGCTAAGGGGTTAATATTAGATATGTCCAACCCACACTCATTACATGCATCTGTGCACCTAGGACATTGGTTTAGCTGCGTTTGCTCTGACCAAGCCAACACTGCCCTTCAGTGGTCATGATACTGTGGCTGATTTGGTTATAAAACAACCTCAGTCAGTTACCACTGTAGTAAGATGTTAGAGCCCACCCAGATAACTCATTTTACTGTCAGATTCAGACCAGAGAAACTGGTGAAGAATTGACTTTAGAGGAGATAATTACTGTAAATATAACTAACTAGTTTTTGATTATTCTATGAAAATGATTGGGCATCACGCAGGGTTTGAGCTCAGTGCAAAGGTTTGTTTTGAAAAGCAGCTTTGAAGAAGGCTTCTCTTTTCTTTATTCCTCGAGCAGATATTTTATCTCTAGAGCTGATCTCCGTTTGATTCAGAGCTTTTCTTTATCCCCATAGCTTTACTCCTAAACTCTGACTGGTAATTGGAAATCATCCACCTGTTCTTAGCAGCTTTATTTATTCTATAGAAGAAAAAAACAAACAAACATGAGTCCCTACTTCAATAAAATCATATTCATTTTATTTGATTTTATTTAAATTACATTTTCTAAATTAAATTTTTATTCATTTATTAACTGAACTTTTTTTTCAGAGAAATCGTTTTTTCAACTTTTAAAAAACAGAAACCCTGCTTTTTGTTTTTCTGTTTATCGTTCTCTAAACCTTTCAACAAACGTTTAGTTATATTGGTGAATTTAAAGAATCAGGAAACAAACTTTAAACATGTTTATAATTATTTTTAACATTGCTAGAAATATCTGGAATCTGGAACATTAATAAGATGCATACGGTGTTCATTTTCAATGCCATGTAATATGCTAAATGCAAAACCACAAGGTAAGAATGGAAAATGAGACGTTTGCAAAATTTCTGTGTAAAAACTGGCAAAAAATGTTTGAATTTTGTAATTATTGTTTTGACTTTCTGCGTAAATGTTCTCAGACTTACAGTAAATCAGTTTTAAAACAGAACTGATGCCATTCCCAAGTGGCGGTTGAAGAGCGCTGTTCGTTAGCCGCAGCGTTCAGCTGGTATCTGTGACGCTAACTACACTGTGGTAGTAAAAATGGGTCCCAGGTTAGCAGCTAGCCGCTGCATGCTGTAACACTGAATGGGTCCCAGGTGCGAGCATGAAGCACCAAGTAATTCAGAACCCACTCCAGCAGAAGGCCTGTAAAGAGGCTCCATTAATTTGAGTGGAAATTGGACAAACACACGCAGACACACAAGCAGTGGCTGCAGATCAATGATGAGTGCGAGCACTCAAACACGCACATACCCACAGACTCCACACGTCTGCTTAATGGAGCGCTGCGTTAATGTGCACAAGTGTGATAGCTTCACCGGCTGTGTGTGCGAGGGATAAGGATTACATGTTTCTGTCTCCGCAGCGTTGTTGTTATTCTGTACGGCTCCAGCTTTAAGCCGCCGTGTGACGGCTGGGTTTGAATTATAGATCAATTATTCAGGATGTGTGACCCCGCATTCACTCCCTGTGAGCCATTTATTATATTCTGTTGGCTTTAATTAGACGTAAACAACTGTCGTACTGTTTTAATCAGACATAAAACAATTTGTTATGTTGGTTATCTTCACTGTACAGTTACTCTGGATGAATTAGTGTAACTGCAGGGCTCAAAGGTCATAATTGTGTGTTCATTGAAAACTCTTTATGACTGGAATAAAACCGGAAAATGTACGCTAAAGGCCTAAGCTTCCATCCTTACATTTTTGTCTGCCTATCTTCCATGGGTTTATGGAGGTAGCATTGTGTGATTCCGTCCTGCTTTTTCTTAGAGTTCCCCAATGAGATCTTGGTGTGAGCAGATCTCAGTTTAGTTGGATTTAAGGTGGACATTCAGAAGGCATGCCAAGGAGAAGAATCACCTAAACCAAATCATTCCAATGTAAAGGAGCAGCGGCTTTACTTAAAGCCTCCCCGGGATGATAGAGCTGTTCTGTTTAGCTTTCAGGCAGAGGCAAGGCACCGTACTGACAAAGTTCATGTCAGCAGGTTTTACCCAGAATCTTTTTCTTTTAGTCATGACCCATATCTCCTGGCTACAGGTGTAGGTTGGAGATGATAAATCAAGAGCTTTCCTTTTTGGCTCAGCCCCTCTTACCATGTCAGATTGGTGCATTGCCCTCATTACTGAAGACGAAGCCCCAGCCTATTCATCAGCCTCCCACTTCATCCTGTCGCCACTAAGATATGGAAACTCCGTCCTCTTAATGTGGAGATTCATCCCCGGAACTTGAGAAAAGTAGAAAAGCTGACTTCATGTTGGACCTTTGTCAGCAAGAAGCTAATTTTAATATTTGCCTTGAGCGTCAGCTCACTAACAGGACAGACTCAGTGTTTCTATGCAGGGAGGCTTCCTCTGTATATTTCCTGTAAGTCAGCCAGATTTTCCTGCTACCTTAAAGAATTATAATAAGTAGTTTTCTTCAATTTCTGGAGTCTTTCACGGTTTTTTGATTGGCAGCTTTTTGACAAGAATCTGTACCATGATTGTCATGTTTGCAAGCTTTTAAAGGACCAATGTCCAGAGTGGCTGAGTTAAAGGAAAACTTTAATGAATTAAAAAAGTAAATAATGGAGAACAACAATAGGAACAAGTCAAGAAACCAAAGTAGTGGCTTTTATAAGGACCAATAATTGTATTTACTGAGGGGCAAGTGGAAAATGATTATGAAAGCAGGTGAGTAATTCAGAAGATGCTATAAACCAGCTTGGTCAGAACAAACATGGGTAGACGGCGAAAGAGAGACTAATTAACATGAATGAAGATAAACAAAGAAAGCATTGATTTATGAAGAAAAAAAACACAAAAAGCTCAAAAGACTTTTTATGTCGTAAAGCCACCTTAAATTAGTTTTGCTGTTGACATAGCCTTTGTTCTCTTACTCCGCCCCCTAAAAAATGGCCTCCTGGACGGTGAGCCGCACTGTTCCTGTGCTATGAGTGTTTCTAGCAAACTGCTCCATCTTTCAGTTGCTTCAGCGAAAATGTTGCCGATGTTTTTACATGAAGTTGGCTCACTTGAACTCTGGGTTCTGCTTAGACTGTAATTTGTGTTGTGTGTCTGCCCCCTTTTAGTCCTGGCAGGGTGTGTATCGTGTGTGAGCCCTGGATATGTGAGGAGAGGCAGGCCAAGAGCGTGAGTCGAGGGAGTGTTGATGGGTCTCAGTAGGAGTCAGAATGTGGAGCAAAGGCTCCCTGAGGAGAGGAGGAGCGGAGAAAAACCTCCTGCAGATCAAATGGAGAACATTCTCTGGCCAAGCACACATAAAAACACACACGTATCCCATTAGGGAATGCTGAAACGCTTCCCCAACTGCTACAATTTTCCAAGGTTGGGTCAATGTGAAGTGTTTGGATATTGAAACTGATTTAAAAGCTCTTCATTTGACAGTTTTCTTGTAGAAATTCAACACACTTAGTGCTAAAGCGCAGTGTGAGAAGGTTGTTAAAGATGACGGGGTAAGCAAGTAAACGAGGGAGCTGTCCGTCAAGATGATGGGCAGAAACTGTCGATATCAGTGACAAATAGCTTGTCATTAACCCAGCTAGCTGGTGGGAAGGGGTCCACATGTACCGGAAAAGGCAGGAATACCATGCATGCACCCTCTTTAACCGTTTTTTGTGCTCTTCCTCTTGTATCCAGTCACAGTTTTCCCGTCTCACTTTTTTATAAGGAGACAAAGAAAAGCAGAGAGAAGGTAAAAGATGGGTAAAGGGAGCGGAAGGAGGAGACAGGGGCCTTTGGGTGACTGGTTTTTCCTCCTTTGGGACGTCCTCCCTCTGCAGAGCTCTAACCGTCTGTTGCAACCCGCAGAAACACACACACACACACACACACACACACACACATACCTCACTGCGTCTGTCATCAGGAAAGCAGCTGAGTCCTGTGAGGCCAAGACTCTTATTAAAACCACAGATCACTTTCTAGCAGAGAGGATGGAGGGATGTAATCTGAACCAGAATTACTGAGCGACTCGTGCGCTCCTTCTCTAACCAGGATTCTCCAGCTCGGTTGTTTCAGTTGTTCGTTTTCCCCCTGCTGTTCACCCTCCCCCCCTTCCGTGGCCGTGCGGGCCCCCCCCCTGTGCCCGGGGGTGGCCCAAAGATTCCAACGCTGAGCTCCTGGCATACATACAAGTGCACAGCGTATGCACAGACACACACAGACACAGCTGGCTGCTGCTCAGGTTTTCCAGGGAGAAAGCAGGAGCCCGGCACCTGAGGAGAAGAAGAAGAGGAGGAGGAGGGGGGGAAGGGGTGGGTGGGTGTAGGGGTGCCACAGAGAAGTCATTTTTCATCACAGGGTTCATTTTTCACTGCAGAGTTCTCCCAGTCTCTACATCGCTCTATTTCTCTTTATCTGTCCTCTCCTCCTCCTGTTCCCCTCCCTTGATCCCGCTTTGTCTCTCTTTATCTTCCCTTTTTCCCTTTTCTCCCCCCCCTTCCCCACCTCTCCTCTAAACTCTTTCCATCCTCTCTCTGTCTCTCTCTTTTTCAGCCTACTTTCTCCTTTATGAAATATGGATGGGAGCAGTTTTGGGCGCGCTGAGAGGTTTGCAGTCGGAGGGAGGGACGGATGGAACTTGGGAACCGGCAAGAAAACGAAAGGAGGGAGGGAGGGGAGCTGGTGTCTCAGCAGACGTGCCTTGTGCATGCACCTAAACACCTCACTGAGCAATCTGTCAACATGTCAGCAACACATGTTTGGTAAAAAAAAAAAAAAAGAAAAAAAAGAAGAAGAGGTAGAAAAAAAAAAAAAAACTTCCCCCCTCTCCGGTGGGAGTAATGGCTCCCACCAGGACTCTGGAAATGCTTTGAATTCAGCAGATTTCTATTGCCGGGTTCTCCGCCGAGGCCTTTTTTTTTTTTTTTTTTTTTTAAACCATGCCTGCATCTCAGAAATTTGAGACCAAGGACCCCTGGGGGCGTCCTTTCATAATGCCTGAAAATGTAGGGTTATATTGTGTGCTCCTACCCATGGGGCTTTTATTAATACCTGTATTCACTGCCACTGGAAATTACACAGGCGGCGCTGCAGGGCCCCGCGCTCACTCCAGGAAGGCAGAAAGACTCTGCGGGGACGTTTTTCTTTTTCTTCCCTTCCTCCCCCTCTTCTTCCTCCTTCCCCTCCTACTTTGACTCTCTTCCCTTTTCTACTTACTTAATGCAAGAGTGAAAAAGAAGAATTTGCCAAAGGACACCGGGAAGTGAATGTGAGTGTGTTGGCACCAGCTAACCCTCTTGTATTCAGCCCTACTTTGCTCCGAGGAAAAGAAACACTCCATTAAAAATGCAACTTCCTTCATCCTCTCTGTCCTTGTGTGACTGTGAGTGGATCTGGCAGTGAGTAAATATTTGTGTGTGAAGTTTAGCTCCATCGTCCAGTGCAAAGTGTTTGATTTTTGCTTCATTAGAATTCGATCAGCCGAAGGCTTTTTCTCACTGTGTTTACTTGTATTGATCCAATATTTACATTTCAAGTTATAGAAATCTACATTTACATTTTAATGAATAAATAATCTTGGATTATTTTTTCTGTCTTTATTCAACAACCAGCTGGCTCATATACTCGCTCATTTATATTTGGATTATTATCATGATCGGTCGCTTTGTTTAGATACCTTTCAAGCCAAAAGAAAAGCATTATTTGTCCGTTTCTTCTTTTGAAGCGAAAAGTAGATGCAGTTGCAATTTGTTTTTTGTTTACTTTGAGATGTATAAAAGAAAGTCTGAGGTTTTTGCAAACAGATGATCTAAACTTTTGCACATTTAAGATAAAGGAAATAAACTTGGTAAAATGTTGGTGGTGTACAAAAATCAGGGAACAAAATCTTTTAAATATGGATTCCAAAGGGGAAAATTAGGGAAACTTACTATTTTATTCTGTAAATCAGATGTCTAACCAGAACTTACTTACTATGAAATATAAAAACAAAAAAAAACAAAAACAAAAATTTAGGGGTAACAGGTAGATATGAAGGCCTAAATATTTCATATTGTTAAAACATCTGAGTCACATCAGATAAATCCACAGACCTGTCTACAAATGTGTCCAATAAAGAAAACTTTTTTTTATATACTTACACCTAAAAAAAAAGTTAGAAATAATAATAAATGTTGATTTTTTTAAACATATTTGAAATACAAAAAATCATACAATAGAGCATGAATAACATAAAATGGTGCCCCCATAGGATGTGTTTTATCTCCACTCTTTCTCTCTGTTCACAAGTGATTGCACATCATCCATCCCGTCTCTTAAACTCCGGAAGTTTGCACGACACTGGTCTGATCCTGGACATCAGGATCACCTAGAGCTTAACCTATGGACCATGGAGATGGTGGTGGATTTCCGCAGAACATCTCCCTGCACTACCACGTAACCTCACTTCCAGTTCTTAGGTCCATCTACATGAAACAACAAGACCTGCAGACCTGGTTGGAGAACTAGGTTGGATAAAAGAGCAGCTAGCATCTCTGCAGACCCCAAACATCCTGGACACAAACTGTTTAGATATTTACCTTCAGGTCAATGCTAAAAGCAAGGTGCCACAGAGACAATTTCTTCCTCCCAGGTTTTCTCTCTGATTAACATTTAGAGGAAATATTATTGTGGTCTCATAATGACAATAGTCTTTATGCTTCAGAGTCCCCACACCAATACCATGTCTTTAAAAGAACATCATATAGATGTATATATATATATTTGCGTATACCATTATCTGTATATATGTATATATATTTATTAAAAAATGTTGACACATGTATGGTTAAATATCTTTACTAAGACCAAAGTGGAACCAGAGTCAAATTAATTGTAAGCAAACCAATTAAACCTTATCCTAATACAATAAACGATGTTATCTATCAACGTGAAAAAGAAAATCCATGTAATGTTTATCTTTCAGAGGAGATTCACAGTTTTCTGTATCTGTAAAAGCTGACCAAGCAGAAACTTCAAGGAGATTTCTAATGAGAAATGGCTCTTATTTTGGGGCCATGAAATAAAAAATGAAAAGGCTTCAGCGCACATCATCCCCACCTACTGGAAAATAGAAAAAGTACAGCCCTGAAGTAAACTTTTTGCCTCTTTAACTGATGTTTCAAAAAAGCTAATCTCTCATCCGCCTTTTTTTTTGTTGTTTTTTTTTTGCTCTTGAACCCTGAGGCAAGGCAAGGCAAATTTATATGTATAGCACAATTCAGTACAAAGACAATGCAAAGTGCTTTGCAAGATTAAAATATAGGAAAGTAAAACAGAATCAGAGCAAGTAGAAGAAAAAAATATATAATAAAAAATGCAGAAACAAGAAAGAACATTAAAAGCAGTTGGACTAAAGAAAATAAAAAAATGAACTAATGATGAAGCATCATAACAGAAGTTTCACGTTCTCGTATTTAAAAGAACAACACTTTCTTATTTTTATGTTTTGTTGATGACTCTAAAATCCCAGCTTCCATGAACACAGCACATGAATAAAAGTGCATATTGAATGGTTAACTCGCAGTGGTCCTGCAGGGGCTCATCTCTCAGCGATGGAAGTGCTTTCTGGACGTAAAGATGTTTTTTCTGTCCTCATAGATATATATTCATCGGTTTGTTTTAAGTATTCTTTTTTGTGTAGATGGGTCAGGATAGAATCGTTGTGGGGCCATGTGGGGCCCCCCCTTCATATGTGTGTACATGTGGGGGGTGTTTGGATAATGAGGAACAGGCCATTGCCTTGGATTCCTGCACCCCTGCCAACAACCCTCCTGCTGCCATCTGGGACGTCTCTCATTTTTTTCTTCTCTTTCTCCATCTTCTTCATCTTGCTCCTACCTTACCCCCCTTTCTGTATTTTTGCACACCTCTCCAATCCTCCCCTCTCGCCCCTTGTTCTCAGAGCCTACAGTGTCTTCCTGCCTCCGTCCCTCCCCCCCCTGCTGAGTTCTCAAACTCCAAACTGACCACATCCCTTCCTTTCACCCTCTTCCACCCTTCCCCCACAGCTTCCCTCCATTCTCTCCCCATCATCCCTGTTCCCTGTGGAGCTGGCCCCAAAGCTCTGATCCCTTCCTCCATGCCCCCTCAAACCTCCCCACTGTGCCCTCCAAAGTCACACACACACAACATGCACACACACACATGCACCCTGTGGTAGCTGGCCCCAAACCAGCCCCTCTTTACCTCCCCCCCTCTGTTTTCCCCTATTTCTTTCTCCGTTTTCCCCACCTCTCTCTCTCCCACACCCTGTTTGATGCTTTTGATTTGATATGCACTTCATTCAGGATGTTTTTCTTCTTTCACTTTAAATAAAAGACTAATTGCATTAAATATTATAAACATTGGCCTTCAGGAAAATAATTTAATGCAGCTGAATTTTACTGCCAAGAACACGATGTGATCTTTAGTTAACCTACAGCTGCAGGTTGCAAGTTAGGACTTTGCAACCTACTGTGCAAACGTGGTCCTTCTTCCCAGTCACTTTCGATTTAAAGTCATTTTTCCACCGGTTGTAGTCCAGAACATCAAAGACGTCAAACTTTGAGTGCAGAGACTTAAAGGTTTCCTGATATTTTGCTGTTTCGAAAGAAATTATTTCAATTCTTAAAAAATGTTCAGGTCTGTACAAATCCTGATAATACAAAGATCCTTTGGTGCTCAGGACTTCTAGGGAGAAAAAAAATGAAACCTATTTTCAAGGTTTGTTGAGCATGGACGTAAGGCAACAGAATAAATAAAAGCTATTTTTTAAGCTAGCTTGCACAATTTTTCTTGTTAAAACTAGTTTATTGTATTTAGGTACATTGCTTTTATCTGAGAGTTTGATAGGCTCTTATTTTCCATCTGTTCTCTTCTGCTTCTTGGAAATGCAGTAGTTCCGGTCAGTTCTGGGCCCACATCATGGTCTCCTGTAAATTGGACTTCTTAGCCAGATCTCTTAAGACTAGACTGCAAATAAACATTTTTTCAAAACTATTTAAAAACCTTCTTCTGATTTCCAAGCAGAGTTCCTCACCATATCAGTTTGTCATTCTAGTAAAAACAGTCATTTCTGCTGCTTGCATTCAGGATCTCCTTCTTATATGGTATAAATCTACTGAACATAGAAGAGAGATGGATATATCAGTAAATTGAGAAATTGCCCTTGACCTTTGCTCCCTAGATGAGGCCCTGGTTCAGCTTTCCATCTCCTGCTCCATCACTCCTAACTTACCCATCTTCGGGTCAGTGTCTCCATCAGACTCAGAAAGAGCTTTCTGACCAGAAGTTCCCTTTAGGCAGAAAAAGTTTAAGTATGTTGCTCATGGTAAGATGGGGCTAGAGATGATTGGCAGCGCTTCAGTAGAACTGCTGCTTCTCATTGGAAAAAAAATCTGATCAGTGTGCCCCCTAAGGTCAGGAGAGTCTGGGCTGGTGAAAAACCTCCTTTAAAGTTCTTCATAAGTAGTGCTCAAGTCCAGACCATCCTGTAACTTTTAGACACATCCCTTTTCTAACACACCTAAATCTAAAAACTCAATCCCCTCATTTAGCTTAGCAGAGGCTTAGTAATGAACATCCAATTTGGTTCGGGTGTCTTAAAAATGGGGTGCATTTAAAAAGTTGCATTTATTCTTAGCTTTAGTTTTTGTTGCTCACAAACTTTATCTTCCGTGTTTGTTAAGTCGATTCAGTCTGCAGGATGTTGTGC